GAAGAAACCTGACTCACCTAGAGGAGCCACTAAATTCCCCCCAAAGTCTGCAGCTGAAGCAGCTTTCTGGAACTGGGTATCACTGTAAAGCTGAATCATTTTAAGTTGGAGGTCTGACATGATATTGAGCAAAATTTGCATCCCAGATATACAACATTAAAAGGTACACTACAAATTCTGAAGGTGTTTATGCTTCAAAATCGTTTAAAAGTAAATAATTATACAATATTCATTTATGCTTGTAATTCCAGTCCTAGACCAAGCTTGTGACTACCAGCGTTGACATTCTTTCCATCCAGCAGAGCTGACAGTGTCAGTTTGCTACCTGGCTTTAGGGTCTGAGTGTATCCTAAACCTATTAGACTGGGATTGTTCACTTTTGCCAAGAGGCAGGCATCAGGGTCGATCTGATACTTGGCTGTGATTCCAAAGCCAGTGTTACTGTTTCCTGCTGTCCAGGTGAGATTGACAGCAGTCTCCAACTTCTTGTTCACCTTCTGGTACTTGGAGCCACCAAACTCTGTCCCATCATTCACATAAGCTGGACTTCATTAGTCTTGTAGCCAACCGCAAAGTTGCTCTGGGTCACACGGGACTTGGTGGTCTCAAAGTTCATCTGGTAGCCCGCCAGCCAGCCCTCATAACTCAGCACCAGTAAGTGCCCCAGATGGAAGGCCCAGCAATGTCAAAATCTACTTTGCAACCCAACTTAATGTGCTCCCGTTTATACCTGGTCTTGATTATAGCATTTTTTTCTCCCAGTGTTAGGTGACAAAGATGAATCACAAGTCAGCTTCAGTCCCCGGGTAAGCTGGTCCTCCACAGTAATCTCGGTGCCTAGTGTGCTGTCAGTGTTCCATTTCTCGGTAAATGTCAGCTCCTATTCGGTCCATCTGTACATGGTTTCCAGACTGCCCGTCACTTTGGTGGTCTCAGTGTTGGCTGAGCCTGAGCTTGTAAATTCCAGCCCACTCTCAGAGTTTGTTTTCAAATCAAGTTTTATTAAGCCAAATCCATAACCCTTGGTGAAGACATCCCTCGCAGGTTTGC